TATATATATACTGTATATTTATTTACCTGAAGTACTGCTTTTAGCATTTGCCTAGTTATATGGTAAACAAATAAGGCTACATTTTGAGAGCAATATTACACATAAAATTTTATGTCCTATTATTTCCTCCAGGACCAAGTACAACATGTTCAGAAGAATCTTGTGGTAACCTTGGTGTATGTCTACAACAGTGGGACGGTTTCACATGTGATTGCACCATGACGACCTATGCAGGGCCCGTCTGTAATGACCGTAAGTTTAAAATGATTACACATGGGGCACTACAGACACAAACCAGTTAGTACAGATTTTTTTCACATATAATATACATACACACCCTTGGATTGGACTTTATACATTAATAAGTGGTATGAAATAGATAATATGTATCAAGCTTTGCATGGGACATTATTTTCCTAGGCAAAATAAATAGAAAAAAAGAGAGAAAACTGGTTACTTAGGGTTGTGGCCTATTAGCGGTATGTACTTTTATGCTTAAAAATTTTTTATAATTATATTTTCACAATCATGTTGCAACCTATACATCTAAAAAGACAACTATGGGGAACTGCTTTAGAACATGCTGCTCCAGTTTTGATAAATTCCCCCACTGTATCTAAGTCAGAATAAAGTAAACAAAAATAGTTATTGGCTATTGTGTAATATAATTTCTAGTTTCCAATCATGTTCTTAAATTCTGCAGCTGTAATTATAGCAATCCCACACTGTTCTGTTGTGGTCTCCAACTGATTCTGAGCTTAATAGGTATGCGTTCAAGTTCCCTGTGAACTCTTTTCCAGTCAAATTCTTAAAGTAAAGAGTGTTGAGAGCAGTATAAAGGAACCATTTAGTCATTTTGCTCCACCCTTGGATCCAGTTTTGGGGTCTGCTTTAAGAGGGTTACCAAACAAATAAGGGATCATCCCAAAGCGCACCAATGTGTGCAGCTATGCACTTGGTTTAAATATAAAATGAAGACCATGTTGTATGCAGAATAACAAGGGCTTCTGACCTGAAAAGAGAGTCTACCATCATTCATTTAGAACAAAGCTGAAGGTTAGATAAATAGGGAAGAGAAAACAGCTTTACATAGAACCACCCATAGCTTTCCCCCCGCCTCAGGTCCACACTTGGCCTTTGACATTGAAGGGAATCCCCAAACACTGATATAAAACCACAGCAGGAACAATAATGAACTTGGCAGGCAAACAGAGTTCTGATAAGTGTGCAGAAAACACAGGCACTGAGGGTGTACAGTGAAGAGTATTTTCTAAATTGTTTTTGTAAGCTCTTATGCTTCTTGTAGGTAAGTAGAATCATCTTTCTAGTTCCAAATTTGACTTGGGAAAAAATGTTGGACATGAACAGAAACCTACCAGAAGCATTGAAGTGTGATAGCAGAAAAGGGGCTATTGAGTCTGCCCTTTTTTGTATTTTTTTTTCACCTATTTGTGTACGTTTGTATATATCTATTTCAAGCATGTTTGAATTCACTTACTGTTGACGGTAGAGCTGCAGCTAACGATTATTTCATCTTAGCGGATTATTACGTTCAATTAATCGGTTAATCGAATAAAAAATTAAATAAAATACATTTTAAAAAATGTCTCCAGTGATGGACTACTAGTTTGTATTGAGATTGCAGTCCATCACAGGAGGAAGCTTGGAGCGGTGGAAGAAAAAAAGAAAAAAAAAAGTGTGGTGCGCAATATAGTGAAATGAAAAGTGTAAAATTATACAGCAATGAACGCAGAATGGCACCGGCTATAGAGGACTCCAAAACCCAGCAATAGTACATTATACAGCACAATTTAGAATACCACCAGCTATAGAGGAATACAACAAATCCCAGCAATAGTACATTATAGCTGGTGGTATTCTGCATTCTGCTGTATGGTGTATGGTATTCTGCATAGTACTATTGCTGGGTTTTGTAGTCCTCTATAGCTGGTGGTAGTCCTCTATAGCTGGTGGTATTCTGCATTGCTGTATAATGTACTATTGCTGGGTGTTGTAGTCTTCTATAGCTAGTGGTATTCGGCATTGCACCACTGTATAATGTACTATTGCTGGGATTTGTTGTACTCCTCTATAGCTGGTGGTATTCCGCATTGTGCTGTATAAATATTATTCCTTGATTTTTTTGTCCTCTATAGCTGATGGTATAATATACAGCACAATGTACCATCAGCTATAGAGGAATACAAATCCCAGCAATACATTATAGAGCACCATGTGTGGGAAAGTGCAGGCTTACCTGAGCAGTCTTCCAGCAACTTGTTTCTGATATTGGGCCTTCCTATCGGTGGCTGTCATCCACCCACACCTGCTCCTCCTTACTTCTTCTCTGAGCATGCGGCGCGGAGGAGGTGCGGCGTGTGGAGCGTGGATGCGGGCGGGTGGGTCTGGCAGCGAGCGTGACGTTGGGAGGAGGTGTGGCGTGCAGCGTGTGTGGAGCCATGAACAGGGCCAACCAATCAGAAGCCGATTAATCGATGATTGAAAAAGTTGACAACTTTTTCAGTAATCGATTATAATCGATGATGTCGATTAGTTGTTGCAGCCCTAGTTGACGGGATCACTATCTTTGCTGAAAGTATCTTCTAAGTATCCATTACTGATTTTGTAAAATAATACTTTCTAAGGTTAGTTTTAAAATGTCCTCATGTTAGTTTGAAATCATGCTCCCATATTCTTGATCAATTAGAATACAGCAGAAAAGTAACTGCAGAGTTTTCCCATTTTGTAAAAGGGATCACTTTAGATTGAGAAGTGTTTGGCGTGTGCTAAATTCAAAGCAGCAATTCTATTTTGGATTGTGTATTCTTGCTTGAGACTACGCAGCCATAATAATGAATAATTAAATAAAATTATCTGAAATCCCTGAACTTCTGCATAATTAGTAAAACAATTAAAACCTATCAATGCGCAGCAAAAAAATGTATACATGCAAAATGAATTGGCATTTACTGTACATCACAATACACATTTAGTAGATACAACAACATATAAGAAAAAATATTAAGTATACTATATGTTTTATAATTATATGCATATTCATTTTATTACTCAGTATGGGAAATGGTAAGTGTCCATTATGTAAGTAGGTTTTAGTACTTTTACAGTTAATTTAAATGTGTTTAATATATTCCAGTGTGGTGGCTGTAGTGAGTTCTGTTTCACAAAGGTAATTATATGATCTTTCAAATTCTTAAAGAGGAAGTCCAGTTATTTAAAAACATAATCCTTGCAGTGCTACCTCCACAGTACAAGGTTTATCTGCTTGTTTTGGTCTAGGGGATGGAATACAGAAGATATACTCACCTGATCCTTGGTTTTATGTCAGTCAGAATTCACTTCTCTCCCACTCCCACTTCAGCTCTGCTATGTGTTTCTGCATCCTCACATTTAATACAGCTGAATGGACCTGCAGTAGATGTGAATACATCAGCGTGCCTTAGACTGCAGTCTGGCAGCTGGGCGGGACCGGGATTTTTTTTTTATTCGAGCCCCCAGACCAGGGGTCGGCAACCCGCGGCTCTTTCGTCCTGCTGCTGCGACTCTGCTCCTTCTGCCCACTGATCTGACAGATGCGGTGATCGGGGAACGGGGCGGTATCTCCACATTTGTCGAGGCCTCGTCGCAGCACACCACATAGCTCCACCCCCACGTGTTTGCTTAGCAGCCTTAGTGGGGGCGATCTATGCAGGGATTGTGGCCACGCCCCCTTACGCCGTCTCTGTGGAACCGCCGCTGCTTCCAGCTGGGAGAGTGAAGAAAAACCTGGTGTGTCCCCTTGAAGGCAGAGAGCGACAGTGTAAGTCCTATGGGAGTCCCTGGAGGGCACTGTAGTGTCCCTGTCCTCTTCCATCATTTGTTCTTTTTTAATTTGACTTTTTTTTTTTTTTATGTAAATGAGAAATGATCTTTATTTGAAACTGTTCTAGGCATGTTTTTATTGAAGTGACCAGCAGCAGGCCACAAAACAACAGGATAGTAAATGACATTCACATAGTATTCATGTTAAAAAAACAAAAAACATCATTTAGTCAGCGCTCTTGAATTTTCCATTTACATATGGAACATAATCAAGGAACAGCCTCAAGTTTATGGCCCAAATCAATCCAATTTGACTTTTTTGATGCTAGCATCTTTACTGTGACTTTGACTGTGAGGGAACATTAAAGTGTAAGCTCCTCTGTAGAGACTGTGCCCGGCTCAGTGTTCTCTGTACAGCACTGCGGTATATGCCAGCTATATAAATGTATAATAATAGTGTGTGACTGTGAGGGGACATTAGAGTGTAAGCGCCTCTGTACAGAGACTGTGACTGGCTCAGTGTTCTCTGTACAGCACTGCGGTATATGCCAGCTATATAAATATATAATAATAGTGTGTGACTGTGAGGGGACATAAGAGTGTAAGCTCCACTGGTGGAGACCAGGGGTGGGCCTCTCCATTGCAGGAGGCTTGGTCGAATGGGCTGACGGGCTTCTGAGTAGGGTTTTTGGGGGCCTTAGGACCTTGTTCCTTAGGTCCGCCACTGACGAGATTTATTGTGCTTTTCACCCAATCTTGGGCTTAGTCATAGAGATCTTTATGACTAAGCACAGGATTGGGTGAAACAGGTGTGTCACTGATGAATTTTCAATAACGTAATTTCAAGAACGCAGTGCGGCCTCGATTCTCCCTTTACTATACACCTGATAATGTGGGGTGCTTTTGGTGCATACTGCACTTTTTTATATTGTCAGGGACCAGAGCACCTCCGGGTGGCACTGTGGAGCTGGACCCTGATCCTGCAGTTCCAGTGCTCACCTGCAGGTGTATCAAAGCAATTTGTCACCACCTGGTGCTGATCTGGGAGGGTATTTAACCTCTCCCTGCAGTGAGGCCTGTGCCTCAGTATTGTCGCCATATCCTGTTCCTGCTTCCTGTATTCTGTTTAGGGTTGCCACCTGTACAGGATTCACCCGGACAGTCCGGGTTTTGAATGATGTGTTCGGGTTTCATGGCAGCAGAAACCTGGACACAAGATGTCAGGCAGACAGGGACAACCAAAATTAAGATAGGGGCCACTGGCCCCCCACTAAAAATAGTCTCAACTGTGATATTTACATATGAATTGGCAGCGCTATTTACATATGAATAAGTCACTAATCATTCTCTAAAAAAAATGTCTGAACGTCGCTAGAGTGTTTGGGTTTCGCTTGAAGAAAAGGTGTCAAACTGGCAAACCTAATCCTTTTGCC